ATTTTATTTTTATTGAGCTCTACATTTTTCTCTGCTCCCCTCCCTGCTTCTCCCCTCCCCTTCAACCCTCTCCCAAGGCCCCTGTGTTCCCAATTTACTCAGGAGATCTTGTCTTTTTTTACTACCCATGTAGATTAGATCTATGTATGTCTCTCTTAGGGTCCTCATTGTTGTCTAGGTTCTCTGGGATTGTGATTTGTAGGCTGGTTTTATGTTTAAAAACCACTTATGAGTGAGTACATGTGATAATTGTCTTTCTGGGTCTGGGTTACTGCACTCAAAATGTTTCCTAGCTCCATCCATTTGCCTGTAAAATTCAAGATGTTGTAAAAAGAAGCATTTTTTAAAATGAATTATCTTATTTGTTAGATGTGTTGAGACTCTGTAATCCCAGAACCAGTGGCAGGACTGCATGTCTGAGGCCAGCCTGAGCTACATAGATAGATCCTAGCTAAAAAACAAATGCCGGTACCCCCATAAACCAAGCTTAGAGTTTGAGGCCAGCCTGTGCTACATAGTGAACTCTTGCCCTGAAACAAACCAACAAAGAATTAATGTTATAAATAAATTGCCTGGTTGTGGTGGCTCACACCTTTAATCCCAGCATTTGGGAGGCAGACACAAGCAAATCTCTTGAGTTAGAGGCCAGTCTAGTCTACAGAGCAAAGTCTAGTTCAGCCAGGACTACACAGAGTAACCCTGTCTTGAAAACAAAACTATAAATAAACAAATAACCTTAATCCTTTACCCATGATTTATTTATTAAAATGTACCTAAATTTTTACTAGGTCCATGTGTAATTTCAGTAGAATGGCGAGCAGTGCCTACAAATTCACTGGACACGGAATTAGCTCTTCTTTTCTTCTGCTGCTTGAAACCCTTGCAGCTTTTCTTCTAATTCCTTCTGGTTTCTGGAATATTGTTCAAATATTGGCTGATAAATATACATTCCTCCAGCAATTCCAAGGGCAACAGCAAAGAGCACCTGTGAAACAGTCAATCTCCTGAGCATTGCCAAACAAGTAGTGCACAGGCCGAGGGCAGCTATGCTCCGCGGACAGCGAATCTCTTCAGATCTGTTTCCAAAGAAAGGGGGACAAAAAAAGGGACCACTTAGTACAGGAGCCTTTTTAAAAAGTGCCTTCGGAGGCCAGCAAGTGTCAGAGTCCCTGGAGCAGGAGTTACAGGCAGTGATAGTGTCCAGCACAGGTGCTGGGAACTCAGCTCCTCTAGAAGAACAGTATCCACTCTCAACCCCCGGGCCCTGTCTCCAGCACAACAGTCCTTTCAAAGATTTACTACGAGTTTGCTCTGGTGTGAATGTTTTTATAATATTTAAGAATCACTAACTAGGGGCTGGAGAGATGGCTCAGTGGTTAAGAGCACTGCCTGCTCTTCCAAAGGTCCTGAGTTCAATTCCCAGCAACCACATGGTGGCTCACAACCATCTGTA